AATGCAGCAGGCAATTAGCCGATTAAGGGTGCGGTTAGAAGTTACAATATAAGGAAGCATTAGAAGCTGGAGAGCTTACTGTATGTTGCTGACTGTAACTGTGTGCTGCTGCGAGTAACTGTGTCTTGCTGTGACTAACTGTGATTACTGACTGTGAGTGCCTGTGACTGAACTGTTTATTGTTTGCTACTGTCTACTGAATATCCAGCGTTTGTTTCTCTGGAGAGTGAAACCGGAGGAGGAGAAGATATCTTTATCGGCTGATAAAGATATTGCAAGGACTCTTAACTTGGACTATACTAGTGAGTCTTACTGGATGGAAATACTGTGAATGACTTAATGGACTGAATGACAATGCTTAAACTCTAACTGGATTAAAAACTATTTAAACTACAAACAGTGTTTGTGTTCAGTGTGTGTATACTCTGGGGCCCTTCCGCTCTCCTTTGGCTGCCTGGCTTGACTACTGCTGCAATACTCTGCTAGGGGTTAATCCTCAAACCCTAACAGTGATTGTGGGCTGATTTTGGACCATTTTAAGGCATTTTTCATGTTGTTTTTGGCCCAGAAACGGTCCAGAAAACAACCTGAAAAATGGGCTGAGAATGGTCCAAAAATGGCCCTGAAAAACAGCTTGAAAAATGGCCCGAAAAAGGCCCAAAAATGGCTTGAAAAAGATCCGAAGAATGGCCTGAAAAACAGTCTGTTTTTTGGGCTGTTTTCCAGCGCTCCGGCGCCCGCAAAGACCAGCTGACTGACATGCCAGAAACCAGAAGAGCAGCTGGCAATGGAGTGCGTGCCCACAGAGAGGCCCACTCTTCGTGCCACCTCTGGCATGCATGCCATAGGTTCGCCATCACGGGGCTAGTGCTTTGGACAGAAAGTGCTCTTCTGGGAATATATTAGGCATTGTTAAAAATGAGAGCCATGAGAAATATACATTATAAGGATATAACTAGGTTTTAGGACTAATGGCAATCCTCAGTCTCTGCTGTAGGCAGGGTTATGCTGGCTGTGTGGGAGATGGAGGAATCAACAAGATCCCGTGTTTGCAGAAATACCAAAGAAACAAAAAAAATAAAATCAAAACCTTCAGGGATTGGGAAAAGTCTTTGGAGCAGAAAAGTGGGATGAGAGAGCAGAAACAACCACAAGAATTCATAGAGATGCTATTTTCTGCATGTTCTCTTTGTTTTCCACATATTTAATTTTTATCTCGCCTGTTTTACTGCTGCTATTACTACTTCAGTAACACAAGGCAAAGAATATACTTCATTTTTTCCCCTCCTCTCCACAATAGCAACCCTGTGAGGTCGGTTAGGCTGAAAGGGCCACCGGCCCAAACTCACTCAGCCAACTTTCATGCCTAAAGTGGGACTATAACTCACCATCTCCTGGGGATTGGCCCAAAGTCACCCAGCCAGCTTGCATGCCTAAGTTGAAACTAGAACTCACCGTCTCCTAGTGATTGGCCTAAAGTCTTTCTTGCCTGAGGCTGGACTATCAGTCTCCATCTCCTGTTGATTGGCTCAAAGTCATGCCTAAAGTAAAACTAGAACTCACAGTCTCCTGGTTTCTTGCCTGGCGTTTTAATCACTAGACCAAACTAGTCCAGACTAAAACAAACGTTATTCCTTAATGCTGTCACATATCTACCAAGAACTGAAGAGCACAGATATGAAATACCGGAACCGGGTGAGGAGCAGAATTAGCAATCTGAAGGACCCCAAGAATCCTGGTTTGCGTCGCAATGTGCTGTGTGGAAGCATCCCGCCAGCCCTAATTGCAAAGATGACAGCAGAGGTCAGTAGGAAGAAGGGGGGGCGTGTTGTTTTTCTCAGGCCTGTATGATACAAATAAAACTTTTTTAAAATATTTTTTTTTATATTTTTAATACATTCTACCTTCAGTTGAACAGTACAAACATCTTTGTTAAACAATAATCAAAATTACAATATCCTTCATTACATTTTAATTCTGCAATATTTAATGTAGTAATGTCCACCTATTAATTATACTAATCGATTGTACAATGTTAACATGGTAGTATTCAACATATACATGTCTCCCACACGCATGTCTTCCCTTGCGCATGCGTGGCAGATATCCGACAATCAGCTGACTGGTGGGGGTTGCGCACATGCACAGTGGAGCTCTTCAAGGGTGACCTCTTGCGTGCCGGCAGAAGTGGCTCTGCATGCTACTTCCAGCACACATGCCATAGGTTCGCCATCACGGGCATAACCCCTTCACCAACCAAGTTCGCCTATCAGACAGCCATCCCTCCCCCTCCTAGCCAAGGTTTCAACCAAATTGAGCATCGTGTGCCAATGCTCCCATGAGCTTTGGAACCGAACAGGGCCAGCAAGACTTAACCTGGATGAAACCTGCCTAACTAAATGGGCACCGCTGCAAGTTGAATACCACCAATGCTGTTGTGCATTTCAGGAAATGGCTAGTGATGAACTGAAGGAGCTAAGAAATGCCATGACACAAGAAGCAATCCGAGAGCATCAGATGGCAAAGACAGGAGGGACCGCCACCGATCTCTTCCAGTGCGGAAAGTGCAAGAAAAAGAACTGCACCTATAATCAGGTGCAAACCCGGAGCGCCGATGAGCCCATGACAACTTTCGTGCTCTGTAATGAGTGTGGCAATCGCTGGAAGGTTTGTATTGTTGCTAGTAAATGCTTAAAGCCAACAGCTTCCAACTTTTTGGGCACCAGGGACCAGTTACTTGGAGAGAGGTTTTTCCACTAACTGGAGGGGGCGTGGTTTCACGTGCTGTCTGCATTCCACAGGTGGGGCTTTGCTTGTTTGTATGGCCCGGTTTCTGGAACGCTGCACACAGAAAGATCGTGGACCCCTGCTTTAATAGCAATAGCAATAGCTATTCCTTCCTTCCTTCCTTCCTTCCTTCCTTCCTTCCTTCCTTTCTTCCTTTCTTTCTTTCTCATTCTATTTTCTCTTTCTTTCTCTCTTTCTTTCTCTCTCTCTTTCTTTCTTATCATGGTCATCATCCCCACCATTATCATATTTTCACACATTACAGGTGGTCCTCATTCTTATACGTGTAATTGGCCTGGTCATAAGTTGTTGCGGTTCTAAGTCAAGTCATTGTGTGACTGGCCTTGATTTTATTACACTTTCTGTAGAGGCCATTAATTACACAATGGGGTGGTGGTGTCTGTAATTATCTTGTCAAACACACTTAGACAACCTCCTGCAGGTTGGAGAAATGAATTACAAAATAGATCTTGGCCCCAACTTGGAACACATATGTCAAAAGATCCAATGAAATACAAGCATTTGTTGAAATCATCACTTCAGATATCAATGCTAACTGGATAGCAATAGCCCTTAGACTTATATACCGCTTCACAGTTCTTTACAGCCCTTTCTAAATGATTTAGAGTCAGCCTATTGCCCCCAACAATCTGGGTCCTCATTTGACCCACCTCGGAAGGATGGAAGGCTGAGACAACCTTGAGCTGGTGAGACTCGAACTGCTGAATTGCAGACAGCTGGCAGTCAGCAGAAGTAGCCTGCAGTACTGCACTCTCACCACCGCACCACCGCGGCTCTTGAGCAGATGATTAGTATCTCCTATGTATTTTTATATGGTTTTTATGCTGGTGCAGAGTGGCAAAACTTCTGGATTGTAATTTCCTGCATTATTAAAGAGAAAGCATTTTGTTTTTACAGTTCTGTTGATGCTCTTTGCACCCATATGCCAGCGCCACGAAGAAGTACCTGTTGCAGCTGAAGAGATAAGAGAACCTTTGAACTGTCCACTGGTGAAATAAAAACAGGGAAAGAAAAACAGCCTGCAAAGGTTGAAATGCTGAAGTTTCAACTCCCACCCCATCAGATAATCTCTTTTTAAAAAAACACAGTCGGTTTGAATGAATTACTCCAATGGAATCCTATCTTCGTACTCATTCAAGTGATATATTGGTGCCCTCACCGAAAGGGCTGTGTGTGTGTTCTGCAGTTATATTATGCAAAGGCAGACATTAACACTGAGCATAGAAGACCAAGAGATTGTGGATTGTTCCCTGCTTTTATTTGGGGAAAATGTAAAATTTTTCCATTCTTAAGGCTGCAGAGATTGGTTTGGCAGTGCATGCATGGACAATGTGTAGTGATATCTCCAAAACAGAGAAAGTTTCTGATATCATGAGCACGTGGATTGGGAAGGCCTGGCTCGGTGATCAACAGCTTATTTAAATCACAAAGTGTAGTTTGTTAAGGCAAATTGAAAGTAACATGTAAAATCAGCGACTATAACTGCAAGGGAGGAAAAAGGATGGGATGTATGCAGTTCTGACTCTGTAATTGGGATTCAAAAACTACAGGTAGCATCTATTAGAACACGGGTGTCAAATTTGCCGCGTCACATTCATGTCAGTGACATATCGCAATGTTTTTTACCTTCACGGAGCTGAGGCGAGTATAGCCTGCACACGATGGCATCTGGCCCATAGACCACCAGTTTGACACCCCTGTATTATAAGGTTCATAGAGGTACAACCTTTAATTGGCTGAATTGGTTGATCCCCTTGGCATTTCCATCCACTGTTTTGTTCAACATCCCCCAAAGCCCTATTTTATTTATTTTGCTAAGTTTGGGATGTATTTTTTGGGCAAGAGAGGTCACCTTATGTCAAGAAAGAGACCTTTAAAAGAAAGAGCATCAGCCCAGGTACAGTAGAACCTCTGGTCACGACAATAATTCATTCCATAACTTTGGTGGTAACCCAATTTGGTCATGATCCGAACCTAATTTTGGAAATTAGGCGCTTACAAAAAAAATGGTGCAGAAAGGGAAATGTGAATTTTTTTGGTCGGAACCCGATTTGGTCATGGTCAGAAGTGTTGACCAGAGGTTCTACTGTACTTTCTCTTCCCATTTTTTAACTCTGTGCTCTCAGCTACCTTTTTTTTTTTTTTTTTTGTTTCCTGTGATTTTTCTCAGAGGCTAAATCAAAGCTTTGATCCTTTTGTGTTGGCACTGTCACTCCAAATTCTTCCAAAGCTTCTTGGAATCCTTTATAGGAGGTGATTGTTACAGGTTGAATCTGCATGTAAAATATGCTTCTTAGCCCCAAGGGATGACACAGCTCGCCCCCTTCCTGCTTCTTGTCACTGTAAAGACAACAGCAAATAATAACAAATCAACCACGACAGATTCAGGATCATCCAAGTACACGGAGAAGCTAGTTTTGAATAGGCAATTGTTCTTGCGATACCTACCCTGTTTCTCCAACAATACGGCCTCCCCCAATAGGAAGTCCCAGCATGTTTTATAGGCATGAAATGAAATTAAGCCCCTCCCCCCCAAATTAAGGCCTATATTAAAACATGTGAAATGGGGGGAATGGTGGGGGGGCTTGCCGTTAGGAAGTACTTTTGTTGCACACCCGGAATATGGTGCTGCCTGCGTTGACCCCGATATGAAGTGCCCCACCAACGCCGAGGTCAACATCCAAGCCGTCACCGCCCGCCCGAAGATGCAAGGGGGGGGGGGAATTAAGTCACCCCCGAAAAGACGGCCTAGCCATTTTTTCAGGGCTCAAAAAAAAAATAAGACCCGGCCTTATTATATGAGAAACACGGTATTTTAGAAAAGGATGTCAGTCACTGGATATAAGGCAGTTATGAATCCTCCTTCAATGGGTTTGATGGTTGTGGCTGAGTTCATCTATTTCTCCATCTTGGGCATTCAGTTGCTATGTGGGCTTGTAGAATTGCCCTAGTTAGCATGTCAATTCTGGAACCATGTTTCTGGAGGGCAGTTAAATTGGGATAAGATGGACATTTTTTTGTAAGGAGGGAGCTAAGTCTGAGAAGCAGCCCTAGTAGATGTGATGGGGATGTAAAATCATTCAAAATGGCAGATAATTTCCCCATTATAGTTTTGCTATTAAATCACCAAGGATTTTCAGCAAACGAGTGAATCCTGCTAGGGTGTTTGGGCTGTCAGAGTTTGCTCAAATACTGCCTCTGCTTAGAAGGAGCAGAACTGGTAATGAAATGTGTACAGCTATTGCATGATGAGGAATGTCCTCTTTTGTTACTTTAATGTTTAATTTTCTCGTATTTTCAAATGATTTTGTGCCATGTAGAGCAAGTCCTGGAATTGTGCAAACCAGATACCCAATTAAAATCCTCACCTGTCATTTGTGGCTCTGTCCATTCTGGGACATGGGAATTCCTACACTAGTTGCTCCAATCAGTACAGGTGTCTCTTCAAAATATCAGGGTGCTGTGATACCTGTGGTTCTGTAGTCAGGGACCACAACAGAACAACAGAGTTGGAAGGGACATTAGAGGTCTTCTAGACCAATCCCTTGCTCAAACAGGAAACCTTATACCAAGTGTTTCTCAACCTCTGGCCCATGGACCCCAGGGTGTGTGTGTGATGTGGTTACAGGGGATTCACAAAGGCTTGAAGAAATGTTATGATTTAAAACTTGAGTTAAGTCTTGGTGGTTTGTGGCCATGGTCTGTGGCCACAAAAGATGGGAGTCCATGGTGATTGAGAAGCACCGCCCTGTACCATTTCAGACAAATGGTTGTCCAATCTCTTCTTTAAAACAATGTTGGAGCATCCACAACTTCTGGTGGAGGAAAGTGATTCCACTGATTGTGATTAATCACCGATTAATAATTAACCACAAAACGGTTTGGTTCTATTTTTGCTGATAATGCCATTTTAATTTGAAAGAAACTGAAGATAAAGATAAAGCCAGAGGGACAAACATGAATACAATCCCATGGGTACTGAGAACTAATTAAGTGCTGCATGCAAATGCATATAAGTAACTTTTTGGCTTAAGTTATATCCGAATCAGATCAGATCAAAGTGCTTAACTATTTGTGTGCCTCACTCCTGCTCCACTCTAAACTTTTCAAAGCCCTTTAGAACAAAGGGAAGTGATTGGATCCCTGTCAATATCCAAACAAAAGTTATTTGGCAGCTTTAGCTCCTAAAGTTTCAGGCAGAGGCGTTTCTCAACCTTGAAATGCTAAGGGGTTGAAGTAGGAATCTTTTTCATAAAAAACGGATTCTACGGTTGAGCTGTAACAAACAGAACAAGTAAGTGAGTGACTGTAGGAGAACAGCAAGCTGAGCTGAAGGGGAGGCAGAGAAAACTTAAAGTCATTGCATTCCCACAAAGATCCGAGCCTAACCCCTCTTGGATTTTGTTGACCCTTATCTGACACCAATGTGGTTGGCACCATTGAACTGTTGGGAAGAAATATCCATCTGGTTCAGTTCCAAGCCGGGAGAAAGGCACTGGAGACAAAATGGAGGCTGGAGGCTGATTGGAAAGAGGGTTTAATGAAGAACAGAATCACCAAGCACATGGTTCTGGGCAGCTGACCACATGGAGTTGAGAGTGGGTGGTTTTTATACCCTCTCTGGGCTCTGTAATTGAGCTTCCTGTTTCTGTGCAAGAAAATGCATTCTATTGGCTGTTGTCAGATTCCCATGGGGCCATGTAGGGGTCAGAGCTGGCTCTATAGCCAAAGTACAAATCCTAAGTGTTTGTCTGAGCTAAGTTTGGTTGAAGCTTGAAGAGTGATACAATGTCCTTAGGAGATTGTGCAATGTGATGAGTTCTGCTGGTAGATGGTGGTAGGTTAATCCTATTATGTCCTGAGGGGTCATGTCTTAATCCCATCATCCTGGAGCTGAAGGCCTTTTGTTTTGTAGATAGGCCCAACCTTTCTCAATGGGCACAAAATCTCTGTTGAAGCTCTGAGTTTCTGTCTCCCTTAAGATTTTTTATTTCTCTTTTAGGGGAAATATTTTATCCTACCTTTTAAAATATTCCTCAGAATATTTCATTCTTCTGAGAAGGGGGTGACTTCCCACAGAACTTTAGTTGGGTAGATTAATGACAAGTGCAAAGGATGAAGACCATACGTTGAGTTGCAGTTCAAAGATTTAATGCTCAGCCTATCCACAGAAATCAAGTTAGCTTCTCTTACAGTAAATGCCTATGGAGATTCTCAGTCATCCAGGTCATCGTTATCCCAAAGGTGACTTTGGTGTTGTTGTTTTTAAAGTCCAGTTGCCTTTTCAAAAAAGCACCTTTGGGATTCTCTCAAAGCAATTTGGATCAGGAAATCAGCAAGTAGGGAGAGGCTGTTAAATACAAACATTTTGCAAATAAGTTTGTTTTGAAAGTTTTGTTACATGCTTACACCTGTGACAACTCAATTGGGCCTTGAAAGCGTTTTACAAAATCCATATTATGCTAATTTCCAAAATGCTGTCTTGAAAGCATCTAAGGAACCTATCACTTGCTTCATCTCAGACAGTATGGGGTAAAGTTTTGGGAGGGAGAGGAAAGTAAAATTTCTCTCCGTTATAGGGAAAAATCAAAATTCCAGTTAATTATTTCTTATATTCACTGATTTCTACATTCAATACCCGAAAAGACCTGCAAAATTCACCTCTTGTAGAATTGCATTCCTCAACCGGGGGAAGCTTCCAACTCCCAGAATCCCCTTGGACTAACCCAGCCATTGTTGAGAATTCCAGGAGCTGAAATCCTGACGTCTGACAGGAGGCAATGTGGGGAGAGCCAGCTATAAAAGCTAGAAGCACAAATAATTTATTACCTAGAACCCCTACTTCTAATTTGTTTGAGAACCAATCCTAATCTAATCCAATCCTAGGTTCTAATCCATTTGAGAACCAAATGACTCCTGGTAAAACTTCACTACATACAAGCACAATGTTTTGACAATTTGATGAACCCTGAAGGTTAGAATGAAAATTCCATGTCCGTATTTCTCTTAAAATACGCTGAATGAATGCCATCATCGTTGGGACAATTTTAACACTGTTGATGAAGGACAAAATTTGTATTCCTCCCAGCTTGCTCATTCTGTTCTTCAAGGCCTCTTGTCTCCTAGTGGCTTGTCAAATGTGTCTCCATGTGTCATAACTTAGCACAATCTGTCACTGCTCCAAGCAGTTACGCGAAGACCCAACTCTCTGGAAAATGCTTTAATGCTGGGAAAGATGGAAGGAAAAAGAAGAGGAAGAAGGGGATGACTAGCAGCAAAGTGAACAGACCTGGTTAAAATGATGAGGGGGGGCCTCACATCGTTGGAAGACGGAAGGTCCAGGTTAGGAATAGATCATCACAGAGGAAAAAACGATGTGGTCACTAGGAGTTGGAAATAACTTGATGGCACATAACTTAATAAATCTGGGCTTGGTGTCTCTTGTCTAAGAACATTAAGATGAGTTTGGTCCTTGTCAAAGATGCAACTGCTGATAAAGCAGAAAGCTGTTGAGGCTCTTAACACACTACAGCAATAGTGTGATCTGTGAGCAGAGGCACATGGGTTGTGAGGAAGCTTAGATTTGCTGGGTCTGTTCCTGAACGCTTTTGGCAACCAAGGGTAGCTTCTCTTGAGCTTTCTTCATTTCATTCATTCATTCGCTTCCTGCCAATGAACCTTGACTTGGTTTTGCTAGTGCAAATTATTTGACGCTTAACTACTGTGACTCTTACGTTTACAAGTCGTTTGATCTGCCTGTTTTAACCAATGTGCCTTTTAATTAATCAGGGTATTTTAATAGTATTAGGGCATGGGTATCAAACTCATAGTGTCACATGACGTTTCACGATTCATAGCCGGTATGGACGTGGCCTGCGTGTGATGCAGGCCACCAGTTTCACACCCCTGTGTATTAGGGCAAATCTAACTACTCTAATTGCCATCTCATGACTGGCTGGGGAATTCTGGGAGTTGAAGTCCACCTATCTAAAGCTGCCAAG